GAGTAGCCAAGTGAGATATCAGAGCCATATCATGGCACTCCTGGACAGTATCGGCGTCAATCATGGCGAAACCGGTCTGACGGACAGCCATGACATCGTGATGATCACCAAAAATGGATAAGGCCTGGCCAGAAACAGCACGTGCGGCCACATGCATAACACAGGGGAGGAGTTCACCAGCTATCTTGTACATATTAGGCACCATAAGGAGGAGACCTTGACTGGCCGTATAGGTAGTGGCCAAAGAACCGGCCGCCAAGGCACCGTGGAGGGCACCGGCAGCACCGGCTTCAGACTGCATCTGAGTTATCTTGGGGATATCACCGAACACATTCTTCACACCGAGCGCTGACCACTGCTCAGCAAGCTCAGCAGCAGGGGACGAGGGGGTAATAGGGTAAATGTAGGCGGTTTCCATCATAGCATAAGACACATGGCACACAGCAGTACAACCATCCATAGTCTGCCATTCACCACCACTAGGAGAAGCCTTACCGGCGAAATGTCGGGGTAAGGAGGCAGCAAGAGCGTTCCGCGACGCCCCAAGAGCACCCTTGGTGACGACACTCAAACACGGAGAAGTATGATTCAATGTCGAGAGCATACAACAAAAACTCAAAAAATAGAAAAATCGGTAAGCTGAAATGACACAAGCTCACTTTACTTCATAACTGTTTAAGTTGACTTCGACTGTAAATAAGACAACCAAGACGATCATGAGCCTAGCCAGAAGAAATTCCAAACGAAAAATCCTACGCTGAGCTCCACAGCTTCGTCACAAGCTCAAGATATCCATCTCTGCCTTCAAGTTTCACATCCCTGAAGCGCTAACCGGAAGGTATTATCGACCGCAACACTCTGCCAACCTCAAGGACCTGGATTTGAGCAGTTAATTGAGAATGGCGGATTGAGGAGTGCCAAATGGGTTCCACGTTGACAACTCTCGATTATGGTGGACACCATTACGACTGGTGTAGTATGAGTGGGGATGACTATTTCTACAGAAGTACTACAGGCATCCATCTGGGGCCTATTTCACAAGCGTCCTAATGTTAGGATTTTAACCCATTAGGATGCAATTTAAGGATAAATGGCGTTCACAAGGGCCCTTTCCTTAGGTTGGGTTAGGACTTTAGGACATTAGGATCCTTACCGTTAGGATTTAGGATATTAGGATGCCTTTATCCTCAAAAACAGGCTGTTAGGACGCTCGGCTTTCACAAGCTATATTTTTAAGGAAATTTTCATCCTAATGGTAAAGTACCTCGGGGGGGGTACTTTACCGACCATCCTAACGTTAAAGGTGTACAAGACGACTCGCTACGTTCCGCCAAACAGTCGTTGGTTCGAAACTCTGCGAGCACATTTTTAAATTAATTTGTAACTTGCACAAAAATCTTACAACTATTAACAAAACTCTTTACCAAGTTCGATACTTATCTGAAGCTTATAAACTTCGTATGAAACTCCTTACAAATGCTAATCTTCGGTAGAGTCAAGCCTTTTTTTACTGCAAGACCCCTCCATATCAGAAGACGTTAAGGTCCATAATGGTCCATTACTGGATCATTCATTACGCGTATCAGTTGATAATAAAAGAGGTTTTATCTGTTTAATCTGCTGAATGGCGCCTTGTGGCACTATCTTTGTCGGATTCTTA